AGCCCTCTGGGACCCCCTCATGAGGGACCCAATTGTGTGGGGACCCCCTCACAGCCCCCCAACAGGGGTCCAAGCCCTCTGGGACCCCCTCATGAGGGACCCAGGTATCTGGGGACCCCCTCATGAGGTACCCAAGTGTGTGGGGACCCCCTCACAGCCCCCCACTGAGGTACCGAGCCCTCTGGGACCCCCTCATGAGGGACCCAGAGGGAAAAAGGGAGTCTGGGAGAGCTGGGTGCCCTCTGAGGGGTGTTGGGGGGTGTCCCAGAGTCCTGTGTCCCTTATTTTGGGTGGAAACTGAGGGAAAAAGGGAGTCCGGGACAGCTGGGTCCCCTCTGGGGGGTGTTTGGGGGCGTCCCGGAGGCCTGGGTCCCTGTTTTTGGGTGGAAAGTGAGGGGAAAAGGGAGTCCGGGACGCCTGGGTCCTCTCCGGGGGGTGTTTTGGGGCGTCCTGGAGGCCTGGGTCCCTGTTTTTGGGTGGAAACTGAGGGAAAAAGGGAATCTGGGATCCTTGGGTCCCCTCTGGGGTGTGTTGGGGGCGTCCCGGAGACCTGGGTCCCTTATTTTGGGTGGAAAGTGAGGGAAAAAGAGACTCCAGGAGAGCTGGCTTCCCTCTGGGGGGTGTTTTGGGGCGTCCCAGAGGCCTGGGTCCGTTATTTTGGGTGGAAACTGAGGGAAAAAGGGAGTCTGGGACCCCTGGGTCCCCTCTGGGGGGGTGGGACTGAGGGGACAGGGGGGTGTCAGACGCCTGGTTCCCTTATTTTGGGTTGAAAGTGAGGGAAAAAGGGAGTCCGGGACAGCTGGGTCCCCTCTGGGGGGTGTTTGGGGGCGTCCCGGAGGCCTGGGTCCCTGTTTTTGGGTGGAAAGTGAGGGAAAAAAGGAGTCCGGGACAGCTGGGTCCCCTCTGGGGGGGTGGGACTGAGGGGACAGGGGGGTGTCAGACGCCTGGTTCCCTTATTTTGGGTTGAAAGTGAGGGAAAAAGGGAGTCCGGGACAGCTGGGTCCCCTCTGGGGTGTGTTTTGGGGCGTCCTGGAGGCCTGGGTCCCTGTTTTTGGGTGGAAACTGAGGGAAAAAGGGATTCTTGGACAGCGGGGTCCCCTCTGGGGTGTGTTTTGGGGCGTCCTGGAGGCCTGGGTCCCTGTTTTTGGGTGGAAACTGAGGGAAAAAGGGATTCTTGGACAGCGGGGTCCCCTCTGGGGTGTGTTTTGGGGCGTCCTGGAGGCCTGGGTCCCTGTTTTTGGGTGGAAACTGAGGGAAAAAGGGATTCTTGGACAGCGGGGTCCCCTCTGGGGTGTGTTTTGGGGCGTCCTGGAGGCCTGGGTCCCTGGTTTTGGGT